AGGGAATATTGTTAATGTTGAAGATGACTCACCTGGTCCTATGTAGTTGTTTGTGACTGTTTTCCCATGTGGTCCTGGGTCCTTGAGCCTCACGAGTTGCTGTCGAGTCATTCCTGGTGCCTGTCTACACAGCATGTTCACTTTTGGTGGCTCATCCCACTTGGTTCATGCAGTGCTTTGGGGCTCTGTGTCATTATAGTTTCCTGCTTCTCTGAAGTGCTGGGGGACCCAGAATCCCTGCATGGATGCTGGATGCAGCCACTCTCTTTCTGGAGATTTGTCACCCATGAACCCTCTTTTTAGGACACCCCACCCCCAGTCTCTGCTCTCTAGTCCAGGGAAACTTTTTTTTCCTCTGAGGTAGAGGTAGGGTGAGGAAGAAAATTATTTTCCTTTTTTGTCTCAGACGCTTGGTAAAGACAGTTTATTTTCTTAGCCTTAAGGGTTTAGTTCTCACACCCCCCTCAAAACTCAAAGCCAAGAAATTCCATAGGCCTATCTGTTTTCTGCCTCAGTTTACGCCTTCCCTAATGCAGTGAACAAAGAGCTGACATTCTGTTATAAAGGGGGAGTATAGTAAAAACTGATCAAAATGTAATATCTCACAACTGTTTCTTTACCTTTTAATAAATATTGATATATCCTAAAAATAGCTGCCTATTTGAAAGTTTANAGGCAGTCTGATGAAACAGCCTATAAAACATCTGAGAAAAATCATCCATTATCCTCTCAGATCTTTCTCCAGTCAATTTTTATTAGAGGCAAATAAAATGAAACAAAGAAATAGCCAAATTTTTTAAAATGAAGATTTTGTGACTTAGTGGGTTTAATTCTTTTATTTTAGCCTCACTTTGATTCATTTTATGAATTATAGTGACAGAATTAAAGCCACTTTTAAAAGGCAAATTTTGAAAACAGCTTTATTAAGATGTAATTCATATACATTGAAATGTATTTAAAATGTATAGTTGACTGTTTTTAGTATATTCACAGAGTTGTGCAGACATCACTGCAATCTAATTTTAGAACATTCTTATTGCCCCCCGGCTCCCCCAAATCCCCATTTCCATTAGAAGTCCTTCTCTGTTCCTGCCCCTTCCCCTTCCCCCAGCCCTAGACAACCACTAGTGAACTCTGTTTGTACAGATTTGTTTGTTCTAGACATTTCAAACAAATGGAACCATACCATATGTGGTCTTTTATGACTGGCTCTGGTTTCTTTCACTTAGCATAACACTTTCAAGCCTCATCCATGTTACAACATATATAAATACATCATTCCCTTTTATGGCTAAATAATATTCCGTTCTATGCATACATTACATTTTTTTTCATCAGTTAAAGATTTGGATGGTTTCCATTTTTTGGCTATTATAATGCTGCCATGAACATTTGTGGAAAAGTTTTTGTGTGTTTTTGATTTTCATTTTCCTAATAACTAGTGATCTTTCATACTGTTGGCCCCCTGTATGTCATCCTTTGAAAGTGTCTATTCAGGTCTTCTTCCCATTTTATGATTAAATTTTGTTGTTGAGTTGTATGAGTTNTTTCCAAGGACCTATTGACGATGCTAAGTGAAGAATTACTGTACAGTGGTGCTTCCCGAGTCTGCAAATGACTCACCTGGGGATCTTGTTGAAATGAAGATTCCTATTCAGGCCCTGGGGCCTGGGAGGGGCCTGAGTTTCTGCATCTCTACCAGCTCCATGTGATACTGATGCTGTAGGTCCATGGACCACATTTTGAGTACCGAGGATTCTAAAGGGAGTTTCACAGGGTGGGAAGAGCATATACATACTCTGCATGTTGATCTCTTCATCTCCCATTGAGGCACTGGTGAAGTAATTGTTCCACTGCCTTCCATGGTCAGTTCTCAGGATACGTGTTTTCCTGCCAGGACAATTTCCCCCTTTAAGGTTGCTCTTTATGTTTACTTTAAACTGCATGTTACCTTTTGTAAATACTGGGGCTTCTGTTTCAAAGGGCAGACTAAAGAAATTTTTCCCATCCTTCTCCTCAGAATTTGCCAGAAAAAAAGGATAGAAATATACATTTCACATTTGACAAAACTTGAAGACTAAGTCTCAAGAGATAATATACAGGGAGTGGTGCCAGTGCAATAGAGATCAAATATGGTGTATAAAGACTCCCAGACGGGGTGTTTGTGGTTATAGATCGCAGACAAAGCTGACAGGAAGCCATTTTCTTAAGTTGATAGCCCTCTGAGGAACAAAATCAATTATCCTTTCTCTGGAATCACAGGAGTAGCATCTATTTGTGTGTGGGGTGCTGAAACATCCCTGGACCCTATCTGATCCCACAGAGTAGTGGAGAAAGCAGCACTAAGTTAAAAAAAAAACACACATGTATAAATGCCACCTTTGATCCATCTCCTGGTGGGGCAGGGTGGTGTAGAGATACCGAAATGTGTCCTGTTCTCTAGCTGCCAATATCTGTTGGTTGGAGAGAGGTAAAAGCCAAAATAAGTCACGCATTCAGCCTTGTCACAATGAGCTTCTCCCTGAACCAGGGATAATCCCTGCTGGGCTGAAACTGCTCATCCCCACCCCAACATGAGCCACCTCCAAAGTCCAAGAAGAGTGCACTTTGTGAAAGATGAGAATAAAGAGGCCACCAGCACAGGCTCCATACAAAGATAATATAAGACAGAAGGAGGGACAGGACAGGGGACATATATGACAGAAAGAAATCCTCACAATAACAAGTGGCCACCAAGACGTTGAAAATTATGACCAAATAAATGGCTATGGAGTAATAGAACTTAGTGAAACAATAAAGAGGCTCAAAGCAGAGCAGTTGAGAGCTCAGGGAAAATAATAGGAATACCACAGAAGGAGATGAAACAATAACTTCTAGAGCTCAGGAAGGAAGCAGAAGAGAAAAATAAAGTCACCACAGCAATGCAGGTATATTGGAATAAACACAAAGGAGAATAGAGGCTGCTGACATCAGTGGAAAACTAGGATAGGAATAAGAAAAAACAAGCAAAATAGAAATGAACAAAATTATAATGGATTAAAGAGAACATGAAAGATATAGAAGACTACAGAATCACAACATACATATTATTTGTATCTTTTAAGAAGAAGCCTGGAGATATTATTCAGTAAAAACGCTTCAGAATAATAAAATAACACTTGTATTTACAAATGTAAAGGGCATGCTGCCATCCAGGAAAACCTGGTATGGAATGATCAATATTGACATGTATTCAAGTAAATTTACTGGCCCTCAAAGACAAAGAAAAAAATCTTCTATCATCCAGACAAAAAAAAATTACTACAAGCAGGGGGAAAAACCAAACTGGCATCATGACTAAACAGACTACAAAGCAGAATATCAAAAGCAAGAGAAAGGAATCATAACATAAAAAGTGATTACCAAATTTATAACCATATAACATCTAACCATAGCAATAAATTTAAATCGTCTAACTCACCTATGAAAAGAGATTCAAATTTATAAAAAGAGTGAAGCCCTAGTATGTGTAATGTATGAGATGCATCTGAAACAACGGAGCCCAGGAAGGCTGAAGATAAAGGCATTGCGGTAGGTTGAACTGTGCACACCCCCCTTCACAGGTTGAAGCCCTAAGCCCCCACGTGGTTATCTATTATAGATAGGGTTTTTAAGGAGGTGATTAAGGTTGAATGAAGTCATAAGGGTGGAGCCCTGATCTCATAGAACTGGTGTCCTTACAAGAAGAGGAAGAGACACTAGGGCTTTTTCTTTGCCATGTGAGGACACAGCAAGAAGGTGGCAGTCTGCAAGCCAGGACAAGAGCTCTCACCGCGACCTGACCATGCGGGCACTCAGGTCTTGGACTCCGAGCACCCAGAAAGGTCAGAAACTAAATTTTTGTTGTGTAAGCCAGTCTATAATATTTTGTTAGGGCAGGCTGAGCTGACTAACATAGACTACCAACTCTCTCTCTCTCTCTCTCTCTCTCTCTCTCTCTCTCTCTCTCTCTCTCACACACACACACACACACACACACACACACACACAC